CTGAGAAGGCCTTCTCCTTCTCCTTCTCCTTCTCGCTCGCCGCCCGGGTCCTGAGGTTCCCCACCGCTCTCGGGCTCCCGCGGGCCCTGCACGGGCCCCGGGGGCTGTCAGAAGGAGGCCTCGGGAGGAAGACTTCTCGTGCTCGGGGGAGGCCCAGAAGGCTCCAGGACCCCTTGCCCACGGGACCCGTTTCTCCCCTATGCTGAGGTGAGTGGGTGCATGAGGGAGCGCGCGGAGAATTTGGACGCCCGACATGGGCACGGAAAGAATGGGTACAGTGCCCAACAACAGATGTTGTCCCAAACCAACAGCGGCCGCTGTTGGGCAGGCGGCCTCCTGTCTCGAATGGACACAGACCGCGGCGGCGCGGACAGCGAGCCCTGTTCGTTCAAAATGAACAGGAACTGCTGTTGGGCATCGTACCCATTCTTTCCGTGCCCGTTTCGGGCGTCCAGAGAGACGAAGATCGTCATGCGGCACGAGGAAGGCCCCCGTTTCGCACTGACTGCAGGCTGCAGGACCCTCAGGGGTCCCTGAGAGTTCGGCCGGGTGTAGACGCGAGCGTTGCGCTGCTTGCGCTCGACTGTCTGCGCCCCGTCGCCGCGCGCGGGGCCGCAGCGCCAACAAGTGCGTGCTGCACTGTTGGTGCTGCCCGTCGTTCCTCTTCGTCTTTCCCCCGCGTCGTTCCTCCCAAGCTCCCTGCCCGGGTATGCGTACGACACGGTCGATCCCCTATGGGCGGATCCCTGCCCTGGATGCCGAATGGCCAGGCCGCTCATTCTCTGCTTCGCTCGACCTTCTACTCCCCGACGCTGCGCGCGAGGCCGCGACGCTAACAGGTGGGTGTCTGTGGGTCACTCCCGGGCTGCCGCTCCTGGCTAAGCAGGCGCAGCCACTGCTGGGCTGCCGGCCGCTCAGCCCCGCACTGCGCTCGCCTGGTCTGGGGTACTGTCTGATGCTGGCCCACCGTACTTGTTGTCCCGTCCCGGCCGTCTGGCCGCACCGCGCATCCATATGCCTGCCTCTCGGCATGCCTCACCCTGCGTCGCACAGGGGTGTGGTATACAGGGGGGTGCGGCCTCCCATGCCGACAGTAGCGATGTGACCTGCGATAGCCGCAGGTGCGACGCACCCCGATCGTACCAGCGCTGGCTTCGGTGGCAGGGTGCAGCACCCTGCCACCCTCGCTGACCACGCCCGGGCATGCGCATGGCATTGTCGATGCCTTCTGGCTCCCTGCCCCTCCCCTCTGAGGTGGCTGGCCGCGCGCGCGCTCGAGCCGTCCAGGGACTCTCTCCGCCTCGTCTCGCCGCCGCGCGCGTGGCCGCGGTCGCCAAGAAGCGTGCGGGGGCGGCAAGTTCGGAGGGGGCCATGGGACGCACCGATCAATAGACGCAAATCCCAGGATTCCCCATACGTTCACATCCTTTCTGGGCTTCTGTCTTCCCCCCCACCCCCCATATCTTCGCATATTTTCCCGGGAATCGACGATTCATGGTGTCTTTGTGTTTTGTCTCTCCTGAAAATTCCACGTGCACCTGCTTACGCCCCCTCTTTTTTGGCACACGTCAGTCACGTCCTGACCACCCACCGACTGGCGCTAGTTGGTGCGGCCGGACCTGGGGCATAATGATGTCCTTCGAGAACAAGGGACCCTCCGACGGCCCAAACTGAAGAACATTCGAGGGCGCCCTCCCACAGGATGCACAAGACGTCCAACAAACACGAATGACGTAGCACCCCGCAGTTCCGAATAATTCGTCCACAAAAACGCCACAACAACAATCACAATCCGCACCGAAGACCTTCACTTCAGCCACGCGCCCAGGGACAGTGAATGACCATTTGGCCCCCTCACACTGACATTAGGGTGCCCGAAGCGACCTCGAACCTATACTTCGGCCTGACCGTACTCAGTCTAGGCGTGCCCCGCTCTAGCACTCACTGCGTTGAATCCACCGGCCAGGGAGCAAGTGTGTGGCGAGCGTTGACAGGGGAAGAAAAAGAGACAAGGGACAGGAGGGGGTGAGCAAGACGAGGAGGAGGAGGAGGACCAGCGCCAACCCAATATTCTTCAACGGTGCTGGAAGAAACGTCCCCCCAAGCCCCAAGCCCCCTGTTCATAGGCCCCTACAAGGAGTCATTTCCATTGAGGAAGGTACCCCGTTGGGAGACAATCGCTTGAAGATTCTGTAACGCGCGTGCCAAAACACCATTCTCGGAACTTCAACGCTGCTAATGAAGAGAAGGAGGAGGAGGAGGACGACGACGACGACGATGCCGAGCAGGAGGAGCAGACGGGAGCGGAGCAGGAGGAAGAGAAATGGGGGATGGTGGAGGCTGAAGGGAATGGGAGGGGGGACAAGGAGGCCGAGGGGCAGAGGAGGAGACCGAGGAGGATGAGGCTCAGGAGGAGGGTGGGGGGGAGAAGCGGCACGCCGACCGGGAACAGGATGGCAAGGATGTTGAAGACGAACAGATCGAGGAGGCCGAGAGACATGCTGATGCGGAGGGGGGGGGGGGATCACCACCACAGCACCAGCATGGACAAGGCAAGGTGCTTGGAAGACCATAGAACAGCACAAACACCACCTTTCGGATACCCGCGTGGGCTTCCGAGAGGTGCGCTGGGCCCCCCCCTCCCCGGCGCCCGGGGCGCGCGAGGAACCAACGCGGCGTGCAGAAAGCTGCTGCTCATGCCGCCTGTTCTTCGGGTATCGGGCTGCGCGCTCCGAACCTCGGAGAACTCCCTGCGGGCCGACGGCCCGTTCTCACCCCTGCGAGGGGTGGGCCGTCCAACCCTCTGTTTGTACGGTTACAACGTGGATGTTTTGAGATATGTCTAACCAACTAGCATCTTTGCCATTGGCACAAGCATCACCATCATCAAAACCAGCATCACGACAATCATCATCATTATCATCTTCATCCTAAATCATCAACAAAAACCTCCTCATCATCCGCATAGTCATCATCCTCGTCATCATCAACATCAGCACCGCCACCATCGCCATCACCATCACCATCAGCACCATGATCGACAACATCATTCTCATCATCATCACCATCGTCATCATCGTCGCCATCATCAACATAGCTGTCGTCGTCATCATCACCATCCTCCTCCTCACCATCATTCTCACCATTATCGTTACCATCGTCAGCATCGCCATCACCATCACCATCATTACTACTGGGAACCAACGATTGGTTTAAACAATTTGTGCATAAAAAACTTTCTGGGGCGGGCGATACAAAAAAAACATCGCGGGTCCTTAGCGCGCCGCAAAAGCGGGGGGGCGGGGCATGCAGACGGAGGGCGGACAATCCCGGGTTGTCCTGAGGCTCGGGGGGGGCGCGGGCTGACACTTCAGGGCGGGGGGGCGGGGGGCCAATTCGGAGCCGGGCAAGCAAAGGCTGGGAAGGACTTCGCGGGCTGACGACTCGAATCCGCAGGTGCGGACAACTCCAGGCCGCGAGGGCTGATTTTGGCCAGCCCTGAATGGGAAGTCGAAAATTCTGATCCACCCGTCCTGCGCGGAAGGCAGACAGTCTGCGCCGCCTTCAGACAGCGACCTCCTTCCCCAACTCGTCTCCCTATTCTCCTCCCCCTCCTCCTCCTATTCCTCCTCCTCCTCCTTCCCCTCGCTTTTCTATCCCTTGTCACCTTCTCCCCTGCTAACTACTGTTCTTCTACAATTTCCCCATATGAATACTATTCCCCGTTCTCCCATGATGCACTCCGGAAGATTGCCTGCACCCTTCCGCGTATTGTGTTATTAATTGCACACAGGTTTGGCGCGACTCCGTTTCTCATATATGCATTTTCAATCGTAACGTGTTCGGCTCTTCCAGCATGTCGTTCCCGCTGCAACGCTGACCTCATTTTCGAGCTTCCGTTCGGTTCGGATCCTCCCGCGTGCTGTTTTTTAAAACAGAGGATTGGGGAAGCGTGCTGTTCATGTATGTTGTTCAATCCGAACTGGTTCGGCTCTTCCGACACGCTGCTCCCGCGGCAGCGTTGGCCTCATTGTCAAGCTCCAGCCGCCCTCCGCGAGGACGACAATTGGGCCGTCCTCAGGTTGGTTCTTAAATCGGGGATGAAAAAACGACATAAACATAAACTTGTGGCGGTCCTCCGTGGACTTCCTGGATCTGCGCTGGGACTCCCGAGCGGCGCTTCCGGCGCCCCCTCTCCGCAATCCTCCTCCCGCGGCCGCGGGGATCAAACGAACGCAGGAGGACGAATAGAAAATCAGTTTCCGCAAGGCGGCAAAATAAAACGCCCGGGGGGCAGACGATTACAAAAACAGTTTCTGGCGGCTGAATTCCCCACTCATTCATTTCGGGATCCCCGGGACGGGGGGGGGGGTGCAAGTTCTTAATCGTTTGCCCCCATTCAGTGGCATCGTAATCATCATCAACATCATCAGCATCAGCATCATCAGCATCATAACATCGTAACCATCAATTACCTGTGGCGGCCTTGCGAAACAAATATTTTTGCGGCGGCCTGGCGCAGCCCCACAGACCCTGAGATCCGGCGTTGCGCAAGATTCGCAACCTCGCGACGAACCACGGCCGGAGCCCCACAGACCCCGGCTACCTGCGGCACTTCTCGAGCCGGATCGATCTCTGATGTCCCCGGGGTTCGACATCGGGCGACCGCACCTTGTGCGAACAAGAAGAACCTCGCGACGCCCGGACCTGCCCCCTGCGAAGGCACGACGGCGGGCGACCCGGACCCCCGACGCGGCGGCTCGTGCGACCCCACGAAGTCTGGACCCCTTCCGCGGGACCGGCTTTTCGTCCCGAGTCGTTCTTTGACAGCCCCGAGGCCCCGGAAGGACCCCTGGAGGCCGACCATGGCGAAACACCTCCCGCCGCGTTTTCTTCGCGACGCGATGGGGGCCTGCGAAGGCACGACGGCGGGCGAAAGCCGACGACGAGCAGCGAGGCAGCGGCGCCGCTCCTGGCGGCTGCATGCCGCCGGCCTGCACCGGCTGGCCACCGGGCGGCGCCATGCCCGCGGGCGCCATGCCGCCGGGCGGCGCCATGCCCGCGGGCGCCATGCCGCCGGGCGGCGCCATGCCCGCGGGCGCCATGCCGCCGGGCGGCGCCATGCCCGCGGGCGCCATGCCGCCGGGCGGCGCCATGCCCGCGGGCCGGACCGGCTGGCCGCCTGGAGGCGCCATGCCGCCGGACTGGACCTCGCCGGCACCGCCAGGCGCCCCGCCGCCACCGCCCCCGCCGTCGACGCCGCCGTCCTCCTCCTCCTCCTCCTCCTCCTCTCTTCCTCCTTCTCCTTCTCCTCGTTCTCGTCCTCGTCCTCCTCCTACTCCTCCTGGCTCCACCTCCCCCTTCTCCTCCTCCTGCTCGTCCTCCTCCTCTTCCTCTTCCCTCCTCCTCCTCCTCCTCCACCCTCCTCCTCCTCCTCCTCCTCCTCCTCCTCCTCCTTCTTCTCCTCCTCCTCCTCCTCCTCCTCCTCCTCCTCCTCCTCCTCCTCCTCCTCCTCCTCCTCCTCCAAACGGCGCCCCCAGCGGCGGTTCTGGCGACACGCTACGCCCTGCAAGCGGAGATGGCGCGTCGCTCCGCCCTGCGAATGGTGGGGGTCTCGGCACGGCCCGGGCCGTGTTGGAGCCTGGGGGCTGGGAAGAGGAGATGGCGTACCGCGGCCGAAGCCAAGCCAAAGATCCTGACCGTACCCTGAGATCCTGGCGTTGCAATCTTTTCGCGCCGGGCGTTTTCGCCAATTTCGGGCCCCTGAACCCTCACGGATCGGTCCGGCTCGAGAAATGCAAGAAGATAGGCCAGGGGCTCTGGCGGTGATTTTTCGCGATGATGCATTTTTTTTCGCAGCGTCAGATCTCAGGGGTCGCCGCCGACGCCGTCGTCGACATCGCCGTCCACCACCTCCTTATCCTTATCCTCCTCCTCCTCCTCCTCCTCCTCCTCCTCCTCCTCCCTCCTCACTCCTCCTCCTCCTCCCTCTCCTCCTCCCTCTCCTCCTCCTCCTCCTCCTCCTCCTCCTCCTCCTCCTCCCTCATCCTCCTCCTCCTCCTCCTCCTCCTCCTCCTCCTCCCTCCTCCTCCTCCTCCTCCTCCTCCCTCCTCCCCTCCTCCTCTCCTCCTCCTCCCTCTCCTCCTCCTCCTCCTCGCGCCTCTTCCTCCTCCCCTCCTCTTCCTCCTTCTGCTCCTCCTCCTCCTCCTCCTCCTCCTCCTCCTCCTCCTCCTCGCCTCAAAGCCACGTTCCCCGACGTCCACGGCCATGCTTTTTCCTCAAAACGGGGTCCCAGAAGTCCCGATCGCATCCCATTCTGCGTCGTTGTTGACCGGGCCGGGGCTCGGCAGAAGGGCCCCTGGACGCCGAAAATTCAGAGGTGACAGACCGTCCTGGCATTCCTGTAGTCCTACCATGCAATGCTCTTAGAACACAAACAGTCAAATAACAACACACATGGTCTTAGAACATGAACTCGATGTGATATAACAAGTCAGACTCCGCCAGAAATGTTCTAAGAACAGTTCGTGGAAACCACAAAAGGTTCTTAGAGCAATGTTTGGTAGGGCTATAGGCGAGCCAAGACGCTTCGCCACTGCTTGAGAAAACTGCCCCAAACCTCCCGCCGTGGTTTCCGCGCGAACGCCGACAAGAGCCCCCCCTCGAACCCTGGTCTGCAAGCCTCCTCTTCCGCGGAGCCTTCTCCCCCCTCCTCCGCTTACGGGGGTCAACGCGAGGGGGGGACCAGCTCAGGGGGGAAACATCGCCCTGCAGTCGGAGCCAGGCCAGAACACGCAGAACATCCAAGGCTGCCCTGCCCAGGATGCACAAGAACATTCAACAAGCACGACCAACACTGGGGTAATCACCCTCCCCGAACCGACCTCGATCCCATACCTCGGTCCGACTGTACTCCGGATCCCTTAATAATCGTCCCCCGGGTCCGGTTTATTAAGGCGCCTTTGGGGGAAGCAGGGGGGTCCGGTTTATTAAGGCGTTTCTTGAAGCCGACGTTCAGGGGGGGTCCGGTTTATTAGGGCGCCTTTTGGGTACTAGCCCGCGAAGTACTAACCGTCATCATCATCATCATCAGCATCATCATCATCGTCGTCATTGTCATCGTCATCGTCATCATCATGTTCATCATCACCAACATCATCATCAGCATCATCATCATCGGCATCATCAGCATCAACAACATGTTCAACATCATCGTCATCATCCTCATCATCGTCGTTATCACCATCATCACGATATGATACGGCGGTGGCAATGATGATACTTCTGATGGCGATGACGACTATCTCGGTGATGGTTTCCTCATCGCACCCCAAGCGCGAACATCATCTTGCGCACTTAAGTGCCCCTCAGTTCTCCTTGAAGCCCGCCTTCAAGGCCGCTTTCTTCGTGCGGAAAGCTGCCCCTTCGTCGTCGTCGTCGTCTTTGTTGTCGTTGTCGTTGTCGTCGTCGTCGTCGTCGTCGTCGTCGTCGTCGTAGTCGTAGTTCTCGTATCGTCGTCGTCGTCGTCGTCGTCGTCGTCGTCGTCGTCGTCGTCGTCGCGCTCGCAATTTTGCTGGGGGGGGGGTCCGGAATATTAAGGCGCCCTCTGTGGGAGGGGGTCCGGAAAATTATGTCGCGAAGGAAGGGGGGGTCCGGTTTTTTGAGGGGGGGTCGATTATTAAGGGATCCAGAGTACATCGCCCCTGAATCGGCAACACGACGCCGATAGATCGCCGACGAGTCGTCGAGGCCCCTGAGCTCGCCACTCCGCAGGGCCAGGGGCGGGGCGGGCCGTCGATGGGCCCCCTGCCGGCGATGCTGGGCGACTCCGGCTGGATGCGTCCCCTCCTGATCCCATTGCCCCCTGTCGGCGCTCCCCGGTTTTCCGGCGATGCCCATCGGTCGGAAGAAATGAGGTCGAACCATGAAGCAGGAAGGCGTTGGAAATAGATTGGGTTTCCGCTCGCCTCCCGAAGAGGCGGGAAGACGGAAAACCACTCGAATCTTGAAGGAGGAAGGCGGCTAAGGTAGATTGGGAACTGGGAATCCAAAAATACATACTTTCAAATCCCCAGCGGCGTGGCCTGGGGTGTAGGTCGTTCCATTCGGGTTTCGAGGGGTGTATCCCAAACTGGAGTGATACTTTGGCGGGGGTCTCGAAGAGGATCTGGATGGGGATGGGGATCGGTTAAACGATACCGAAGTAACTCGGTTCTCTGGCGGCCGTTCGGGGGCGATGTGGGCATCCCTGGACTGTCCCCTGGCGAGGCGCAACTGTTGGAACGCGCCCCGAGGCTGGACAACCGGAGAGAGACGACGCAAACGTCAGAGAAAACCTCGAACCTCGAGACCTTTGCCCCCTCTGAGCCTCTCCCCCCCCTTGCCTCGGGGGCGTCCAAGAT